GGTCTGCTTTAACTCAACTTCTGCCTATGAGATGCTTGATTTTAAGGTCAGGAAACTGAGACTGTGTAATGCTGAATAGAGTTACTGGCTCTCCAGGCCTCTCCCTCTGGCGTGGCTGCCCCACTGCACATACAACTTTTTGCTGCTGTCTTTCCCCCCCAGCTTTCTTTCCTGAAATGATTTCTGTTGTGCAAGAAGGGGTGAAGATGCCTATTCCCTAGGGCCAGCACTGGAAAGTGGTTTGGGCCCCTGAAGCAAAATTCTGGTGGTGTTTAATGGCCCAGAACTGATACTGAAAACCCTGCCCAGCTGGTGCCTAAATTCTATATTCTTGTTCTTTTTTTTTTCTTTAAAATTCTATGTGTTCTTTAAAGTTCAGTCCAGCAGTGCTGAGCAGCCTGGCACCTCAGTCACACCTGAGTTTGTCAGAGACCCAGTAACATGATGGTCCTCTGCCCGTCTCCAATGAGGGGCCCGATGAGAGAGATCCTATGGATATGGGGACTGGGTCCCACCCAAAATGTGGTTGTGGCAGCCACCGTCTCTTAATGGTGGGCACCCCCTTCATAGCTTAGTGGTTAAATTATTCACGCTGGTTCAGTTCCTTCCTGTGTCCAACGGACCTCAAATTACATTTTCTTCTATTCTAGAGGATGCCCAACCTGTCAAATCATAAGCTATTCTGTGGTGGGACATTTTCCATCCTAACTTTTTAAAGCAGTGTCAGATTTGCATAGAAGATTCATGGGGCTAGAGAGGGTGGGAGCGTGTGTGGCTCTAGTCCTGCAGCCAGAGTCCAGGGTCACAGCTCCTTCTCCAAGGTGTTCATGCATTTCTGTCTAATGACTCTAATGTAGAAGACAGAGACAGTCCTTGTAACAAGGATGGAGACCCATGTCTCTCATAGCTCAGGTGAATGCTCTAGACACCACACCAGTCGGGGTCCCTCCTACCTGATTGTTGCATGAAGAGCAGCACAACTTCAGAAGGACAGATAAGTGTCCTTACCCCTGAATAATCTGTTTTTAGGGCCCTGGCTGGGGGCGGGGGGCGTGTTGAAATCCATCTAGGGAATCATTTCTGCATTTCGCATCACTTAGACAAGTGATTTGACCAGTAATGGGTTACAGGAAGGGGGTATACCACCATTCCCTTTTGGTCTTCTTTTGGAAGAAGAGTGATTCCCTTGAAACATCTTTCTTCCTGAGCAAGAGAACTCCTCCAGAAGCCCTTGGGGAAGTGAGGAGGCTGCTCTGAGTCCCCCTGATACAGATCCTTGGAGACTGTAGAGTGGGTCCTGGAATCAAGGTGTTTAAAGCTTGTAAAGAGGCATGTGTTGGAAAATCAAATGCACACCCTTGCTGGTAACAAGTTCTCTTCCTCAAACTCCCTGTTTCTAGAAACTATTTGCAAATAAATTGACGCTAGCATGTGACTCAGCCTTCTGCAAGTATTGTAAGTGGAGTTCTGTCCTGTGAGGTTAGAGTGGGTGTGTATGCTTTAAATAATGAAATGGGGTATAGGGGGCAGGTCTCCTGTGGAAGGCTCAGAAGAACACTCTTGAGAGGATGGGAAAAGATGAAGAGCTGCCTGCTGATATGCTTACTCAGTGTTTGCTTTGAGAATTAAACGTTCCCGGGAGGAAGCCGGTGGCTGTCTGAGCCAGAGCCATTCAAAATCTCTTGAGCACAACATGCCTTGGCTGTGACAGCACCTGCTCCAGGGCTGAGTTGGTGATATTTCTCGGTGATGTAGCCCCCTGTAACCTTCTTCTCCTCTTGTCCTGCTGGAAAAGGAGCCGGGACAGGCACAAGTCACCACGGAGTAAAGATGGCAGTCGATCAGAAAAATCGGTCACCATCCAGACACCCCCTGCAGAGCCACTGCTGGGGAATGAGGCCTCTCGGACAGAAGAAGGCCAGGTAAGGAACAAGAAGGGGCTGGGTACAGCAGATGGGTGGAGGGCAGACAATGCTCTGAGTCCTGGGGGGACGTGTTTATCTATTCACTTGTGATCAGGCTGGTTTGTTTTATGGGTGCCCTCTTCAGCATTGCAGATGCTGTTGTAATTGTGCAGGGACAGCTTCAAACTGCTTTGCAAAATTCCCTATGCATAGGGGCACATCACTAGCTGAAGTTGCTGTTTTCCAGAGCCTAGTGAGGCAATTTAGGATCAGGAGTGGAGATCAATGCTCTCTTAGTTAAATGGCCAGGGGCTTGTACAGGGGCAGTACACAATGACGTGACCTGGAACTGGCCTCATACAACAGGGCTTACACCTTTACTATTCGATTCTGTGTCCATCACAAGCATTCCAGTGCTGGTCAGGAACTTGGGTTTGTCTTATTTGCAGCAGCCTGGTGCCCTGTCCAGCCACGCGAGGGGTCCTTTTACTCAGTTGACTCTGAGCCATGCCAAGCCCTTCCAAAGCAGCTGTTTCCTCTGCCTAATCCAGGATTACTGTCCAGGTCACCTTCACCCTCGTTTTGCCTCTGTCTCTCAGGAGAGATGCTATTTTTTAAGGCTTCTTTCCAGGAGTAAAGAAAGAAACTGTTGGAGAGGCCAGGGCTTGGGAAGGCAGGTAAGAAAGAATGGGGAGCCAGTCTAGTCTAGGCAATAGGGAGAACAACAACAACAAAAAAACTAATTTACATGGCAGGGCCAATGACCTTTGGTCAGAAAAGGAACAAGAAGATGTTGTTTTCAGACTGTTTCTAGTTTTGAATTGGTGCCTCTTCCACATCTGCAGTTTTGAGGTTTCCTCAGTCACAAGAGGTGATCTTTAAGGAGCAGCTGATGTACCAAGACTGTTTGGAAACCATTGTGGTTTTGGTGTGGCATACATTTCATGCTTCATGGTGGGTTTTGTGTGCATGTCTATATGTGAGAGATGGTTCCTGCGCACAGAAGCGGTTGAGTCTCCACTGGGCATGTGCTAGCAGTTGTAACTGCACTCGGGCAACTGCAGAGGGTGCTCAATAGAGGCATTCATAAATGTTGTCTCACTCCAAATAGTGGCTTTCATAATCTACAAGCTCATCAGTTGGAAGCAGATGCCAGTATAATTTCAAGTGGGTCAAAAATGGGCTAGGAGCACTCTCACAGTTGCTTTCATGCAAATCCAGAAGTGAAGGGGACAGAGTAGATAAATTTTTACATGAGCAAAGCTGTCTCTGAGCATGAAGAACTTTTGACAGTGATGTCTTGGAGTCATTACAGCAGTGCTGTAGTCCAGAGACCAAGCCCAGTAGCTGTGTGCGACTGCCTGAACTGCTGATAATGTGATTTGGTTATTTTCCCCCTCATCTTGGAAGCACTCCTAAAGTTGGGAAGTAGGGCTCCCTAGTTCTAGGCTTGGTTTGGGCCTCCATTTACAATGATCCTCAGTGGCAGAGGGGAAGTGACATGTTTCCCAATCTACAAAATGAGGATAACTATGTAGAGCCACCCCCATAGTACAGGAGAAACCATAGGTCTCCAAATTCACTGGTGTGTAAAATGCTTGGCTCAAATGGAAGGTACTAGCAGAGGGGAGTTCTGTAGCGTTACCTTTCACTGTAGAGCAAGCTCCAATGTAACTATCTCTTTCAGGGCCTCTATCGTGCTGAAAAGTGATAAAAACCACAGAAACTAATGCAAGATGCTGACTGTTTGTGGTTGGTGTGTGTGTGTCCTGTCTCCCTTTTTTTCAAAACTCCCTGCCTGAAGCTGTGGAGATATTAGCATCTCATGGTGCATCAGCAGTTAAATTCCTGGAGCTATTTTGAGCTATTGGGCTGTCTCGGTCCAGTCGTTTTCCAAGGATTCTTGTTAATCTCTTTGTTTTTCATAACCCTTCGTCTCCAGAGAAGAGAAAATTAATAGTGCTTAGGACTCACTGGATTGATGGCCCCGATGAGACTATGGACTCATGGTTAGAGAACAAGAATGGCATCCCTGTATGACCTCAGAAGATAGCATACCTTAAGTTTTTTTTTTAAAATCCTAAGCAGTTCCTTTAAAAATAAAGTCTCTTGTCAGCATAGTCAGCAGCAGAAGCCAAAAAGGATGTCTGCATGTATCTTTCTCCCTCCTTATCAGTCACTGACATGCTTTCCAAAAATGCATCCCTCTGCAAAAGAAAATCAGTTGGACACTAATGACCTCTCCAGCTACAAAGGCTTGAGATGCTGCTGAGGAGAATGGAGTAAGCCGGTGACGTGCACTCTCTAGAAGCTCTTTAATGCTGGTTGAAAAGTTGCTAGGGTAAATTAAGAGCCCTCAGAAGTGTGAATCACTCCTTGAACAGGAGCTCCAAGTCAGATCTGTACGTGTCAGCTTAACTCTACCTTCACCTAATGTGGGTGTGTCCAAGCAAGATGCATATGGGGGTTGGGGGTAGGAATAACAGCTTGCAGAAATTATCTGAAGTTGGAATTCTTTTATGGCCAGGTTTCAGAAACCTTTTTGTGTGCTTAAATTGGACTGTCTGTCAACATGCTGCAGAAGATGTGGCTTCAGTCTGAGCAGCTCCTGATAGACAGCCTTCTATACTGTGATACCAGAACTCACTAGCACGGTTGGGTTCCACAAATTAAGCCTAACACCCTTAATTACCTGTCTTTTAAATATTTCAGGGTGTGCTCAGTTGCTAGTTACAGTGAAAATGTTCCCAACCTTTCTGGCTGTAAGTACATGTTGCATTTGTCCTGGGATCCTACAGACGTAAATACCACTGTCACTCTGAAGTATGTGGGATGAAATGTG